TTTTTTTTTTTATTCACTTGTTATTGAGCAAATGAGAGCCTGTGGATGTTAAACTAACTACAAGCGGTTTCACCAACGATTCACAAAACACATCGGAATATCTTGTGAATCACAAAGACAAGAGAGATGTTCCATTGAAAACCTTTTATTGTTGCTATCACAGTTATATTTCAGTGCCCCAAGTGGTTTCATCTGCTGTTAAAAGTGAACTGAATATTATGTAAATTGTCTGTACAGCTTGTCTTGAAGAGGACTTGCAGTGAAACAGCTTTTACCATGTGACGGCAGAGTACCTGGGTCTTAGCAAACGTAGAAAGAAGATTAGTAATTGATAAGAGCAAGTATTGGTTCTTTCTCGGTCTTGATCCTCTGCATATACTTTGGGTTTTCTAACTAGCTTCCTTTATGTTACAGCTGCCATGAGAGGAACATGGCAGGAGAGACTGCGAAGATATTTGTTGTGTAGATGTTTAGGATAAGGCCAGTCATTTAATAAGCTTTTTAAGTCTACCAACAACTACAGTGTTTGAGAGTTGGGGGCACTACCACAAAGCAAACAGAAACCAAAGCCTTTACGTCAAATTGCCATCATTCCTCTGTATCTACAGGAATCGAAATAAACATCAAACAAACTGGCCTGTGCTATTCACCACTGCTTTGTCTTTTCTTTTCTCTTTGGAGAGACCAGCCTTTAATGGGGACATCATAGTGATGGCTAGGTGATGGCTAGGAACTCTAAAGAAGAAAAATTACATCTCAGGTATCAACTGCTCCTCAGAGTGGAAACAGCCCAAATTTGTCATCTTCCTGTAGAAACAGCTTGGGAACATTTGATAGATCACTGAACAATACAAAGCAAGCTCCTCATGGTGTCATTTCACATTTTAAGAAGAATACAATTCATGGTTTTTGCATTAGTGATTTCAAGTAAAATTCAGCATACAAAATTACTGTTTCTGTCATGTTTGAGGTTTGAAGTTTCAGTTCTTTTTTATGAGGAGTTCTGAATATAGCAACTTTGAAGCACAGCACATGGAAAGAAAGCAAATTAGGCTGAGGAAAATGATGGCAAATACCATTCACAGAATCACCAGTGGATACAAACAGCAGAATGCATAAGACCAGACCACTGAAAGAAAAAAAGATGTGGGGAATTCCAGCTTAACAGTGTTGAGCAAGGAAAACACATTTTGGGCTTAAATCTTTTGCTTGTCAGCACAAGCAGCTGTCTTAGCCAAAGGGAATTTGTATGTTCAAAAAGATCAAGGTAAATTATGAGTGAACCACTGGGGACAACAGTGTAGGCAGTGGTTGTCTCTAAAACTAGGAAATTAATCCACTTTCCTTTTTTAGTTCTCTCTCAGATTGCTGCAGTCTTACTTATGCACAGGAAATCTGGAATAAGTTAGAAATTATAAGAGAACTTCACAATGAATAGGTGGCACAAACACTTTCCTTGCAGGCAAAGATTGGAAGTACAGATGTGCAAATGTGACTCAAATTCACTTGACTTGCAAAAGAAGAACTGCACAAGGCCTGACCATGCGAGTTGGTCGCCTGATGGAGAGGACGGTTTGTTGAGAAAGGTAATTGTTTGTCCAGCTGTGACTTTGGAGGCCTGGATCCTGTGCTGATCCACACAATCAGTCAAAATACTGTTTTTTGGAATAGTTGGCTACCTTTAGTTACTGTCACCTGCCTCTCTCCTGAGGCAGTCTCTTCTGGATGAGAACTTCCCTAATAAACACTTCTGAATCACCTATCCATGGCCAAGACTGGTGTCAGAGGGAATGGATGGGGCAGTGGTATATCAGTGGTGAGTATCTCACAGCCTAGCTAGTGAGTTAGATAAATGTGTATCTCCAGTCCTTCCTTGGGCAAGACTCTTATGCATCCTGTAAAATGGCAAGTTAATGACAAGACTTTCTGTAAAAGGTGGGAGTGGCTGACATCATCTTTTAGCAAGAAGCAAGGTTTCTGTGGTTTGGGTTGTTCTGCTTCTTGCTTTTATTAAGTTCCCTTCTGCTGGTTTTAATGTGCCCCCTCCACTCCCCTTATAAAAGGTTAATCTCCTCCCAGTCAGGCTAATCAGGTTTGGTCCACTTCTCTGCACTCTTGTGATTTATTTGGTCAGTGCCACATACCTGATACCATCTAGTAAAGAGGTAAGACTTCTTTCTTCTCCTGTTCACCTGCCAACCTGTTAGTTTTACAGCAACATCCTCTACATCTCATTGAGATCCCTTTCCCCTTTCCTCTTAAACTCATGGTCTCCTGTCATCCCTCTTTTGTTAGTCTCTGACAGGTTCTTCTTCTCCGAGGAGAAGCTGAAAAAAACCCACACTGCCATGTTAGAAGGGGACTTCAGAGCTCTCCCACTATGGACTACAGTTATACTTAGTCCCTTTCACTCTTCTTTCTCTTCAAGCCATTGCAGGATCTTCACTCACTCCACCTTTCATCCATTTTCTGCATCATCTCATTTGCTCAGAGATTTCTTTTTTTTTTCCCTCCTCTGCAGTTTTCCTCGCAGGCTCTCCCGTGGTAGGCCATCAGAAGGTGTTTCAGGGTTCATTTTTTATTCTCTTATTTTTCATGAACTGGCAGATATTTTTTTAGCATCATTTTCTGGAATTCATACAGCCTAAGTTTTCATCGCCTGTAGCCACAACGATTCTTCTCTTTTTGTGGCTGAGCATTCCTCTTTCTGCAGACACACTCTTGCTCAAAGTCTCCTTTACAAAGACAGACCTTCCCATTTGCTGATGCAGCATGAAATGCATTGGTATGGCAGGCTTAGTAACACAACTCTGCTTTGCAAGACAGTATGGTTCAGCCATTTTTCCTCACCACAGCCACACATGCATGCCCTGACAAAAAGCCTTTGCTGCACTATTCTGGTGGTAGCAGCCCAGCTTTCCATCTGAAGCAGTGAGCAGGTACAGAAAGCTGCTTAGGAAGCATTCGCTACTTGAAAACGTTTCTTCCAAGGAAGGACTGGGCAAAAGGCAATAGGCCAGATAGGTCCTTTCTTCAGGCCAGTGCCATATGAATCAAGCTAAACTGGCATTCATAAGGCTGCAGACTTGGTCTCTGTTAACACTATGATTGAAAGACCAGAAGCATATTTGAAGTGTGGCATGTGTGCTAAGGACAGGTTGACAGACCTCAAAAGGTTACTGGTGATGGGAAAACATCCCTTAACGAAGAAGGGTTCTTACAGGATAGAAGAGAGTTTGTATCTGGATTCAATTCTATTCGCTACTTCATCTGGAAATCAAGAAAAATCACCACTGATTAAATTCAAAGGAGACACCTAGTTTGATGGAGTAGAAAATAGTGAGTGGGAAAAGACAGGCATGCAGACGCACAGCGGTTTATTGAGGCAAAAACATTACAGCCAAAACTAAGAAAGAACAATGCCTACAGAGCAAGAGGTGCTTTTTTCCCAAAAAGCAGGTGCTTGAAGGAAAAACTGAACTTATGTCCCTAGTGCAACAACAAGTCAAAGACATTAATGAGACCCTTACATGGACGAAAGAGCAGCAAGAGGAACAGCTTCTAGTTTCTGTGAGCAGAGCTCACAGAACATTATGGTACCATAATGTTGTCTGCTTATCTGATGTTCACATCTTTAAAAGGACTGCTAGTAAACTGAAGACATACATGATCTGCAGAGCAATAGTCTGCACCAGAGGAACAGCTCCCAGTGACAGATCTCAAAATCTCCACAGATGCAGATGGTGAAAGACAATTGAGAAGCTATTTCCCGTACAAGTACTTTATTCCGGTGAAACACGAAACCAGTAGATCCCATATCTCATACTGTCTTCACATGAAGCTGTTCTGGAAGAAACACTCCCGCCAAATGTAAGTTACTGGGCAAAGTAACAATGTCAGAAGCATATAGGGTAGCAGCAAATAGCATAACTGAAAGAAAAGCTATAACTGTGTCTGGAATAATAAAGGAGGTTGACCTAGAAGATCTATCACTTCTCATGGACTGAGATTTATGATTCTTCCTTCCCTCCCAACCACCTCCTATAGCTTTCTTGTTTCTGCTTCTCACTGTGACTCTTCAGTTTCTCCTGCTAACAAGCAAGCAGCCTCTCCTGTTGAGAAATGGCTTTTACTTCTGCTTGGCTGGCCTTCTCTGGGACATAGAGGAGCACAGCACTTGCCAGCTGCTAGCACAGCTGTTCTGCTGGTGGGACTCAAAACCATCATATTTGACTAGCGCATGTCCTCTGTGCTCTCTATTCCCTTCCCAGGATCTCCCAAAAGACAGATAGGGCCCACCGCACTCTCAGGAGAAATTCATAGAAGCTGCTGACCTTCCTGCTGTGACAAAGAATCATGGTAAACCACCGCACCCTCTGCCCTTACACCACATGCACACACGCATTCTACTTCTTATTTGATATTTTCACCACTGTTACCATTTGTAGGTAAGTGGTAGGAGGTAGATTTGCTGTATATAAAACCCACTACAGGAGGCATCAAGCAAAAAGGGAGCATGAATTAACATGCCTTCATTTCTTTTCTTAGCAAGGTAAGTAGGAGTTAGGAAGATCAAACAACAATGAATAAAAGGAACCTTCCCTATGCTAAATCGATACAGCTCTTTTCTTCTACAATTACATAGCGCAACTTGCAAAATTAGTTATCTGGCAGACAGGGACTAGAAATACACCTTCCACACGCCCACCAAGTGCCTTCCTCCTCTCTGCTCACTACACATAATCTTTTGATTATTTTTTTTCTGAGATTAAGATGCATTTTACAACCCATAAGAAAGAACAAGGTTTCTGTTGAATGAGAACTGCTTAGTGACATCTGCTTGTAATGATTACTGGGTAAGATGAAACTGCTTTAACTCTATAATCAGGCTGTCAGTGGAAACTTTGCATTTCCTTACACATTATAAGATGTGTTTAATTTTACTTCTGAGTTTAAGGGACCATCTCTGATGAGCATTGAGGAGAGAAGCATTTGTGATACAATCTGTAAGGAAGTACAAAGTTTCCGTTAAGAGACACAGCTACCTAGTGACATCTGCTTTTTGCAGCTGCTGGATAGCGCTGTGTAGGCAGCACGTCCCTGACAGAGCTACCTGGTAAGAAACAAGTGATTCTGCACCCTTAGAGCAAAGAAGCTTCTTCACATCATCTCAGAAGAAAGGAGGAGAAAAGGTAAAATTCACAAAATGCTGTTGCTGAGACAGTTGTGTATCATGCACGCTCATCGTGTGTGACTGTAATGCTTTTTCATTTACCTTTTATTGCTGCTCAGGTAATTTTTAAAGCGGTTTTAAGAACTCCTGCATCATCAGAAGTGGGTGTATGTACGTTATGTAAGTGTATGTTTTCAGTTTAAAATAGTTAAGTATATTATGCTGAGCCTAGATTAGATTCAGGTATGTCTAGGTGCAGTTGTTGCAAAGCTGTCATCTCTAGACCATTGGTGTCAAACAGTTTTGTCCCTGTGACTTGTAATCCAGATTAAATTCCTCTCTGTGTATAACAGAACAGAACTGTAGGCTGGAGAGGTGTCATGCTTGGGACTACACACAGTAGGGGTCACATTAATGATAGTCAATGTTCATTGTTATGTAGCAGCAACGTACAGTGCAAAGACAAATAAAGCAATGATACTCACTTTTCTTCTGCTTTCCATTCATAAAAATAAAGACAAAGGGGAAAATTCTGGTATGTTAGGCTAAAAAAATGACACTTGCTGTGATGTGAATAACACGTGCAGTAATACATCAGCAATATATTTGCACTGTGCCCAAGTTACTTACCTTGAAGTAATATCGCTTGAAACGCTGTCTCTGCCTATTAGAAAAGGACATACATATGAAAATGACCAGTTGCTGTTATTCATTTAGCCACTGAAGACAGCACTTACTGAAAACTCATATCAGCTTTCAGTAAGCGTAATTTCATTAGAAGGAAGAGTCAGATGCATTTTTATTACTGTCTTCTTACAGTGATGTTTGCTTGATTGGAAAGGTGGGTGAATTCCTGAACTGCTATGACTAGTGGCTTTGCTTTTTACTTTATTCCACACAGGATTTATCCCTCTCTGATTTGATATCTGTGGCCTCTATCTTTCATTCCTATTTGCTCTCCTCTCTGCCATTTGAACAGTGTTCTGTGTGCTTGACATCCAAGTTGCACAGTGTTGCAAGGACTAATCACATGCGTGTTAAGAACAGTACGTTGTGCAAGTGTGCATATGCATCCCATAATGTTTAAATAGTGTTTGAGAACCTGTAATGGAAAGTGTGCTGGAACTGAAAGATAGTCATTGCTAGTAATTCAGGCTTGTGGAGTAACCACACGGTCTTCATGAACTGAAAGTCACTGACATTTTTATATTCTTTCCTTCTCAGGAACTGGGGAAAAAAACATGAGTCCTTCAAGTACAGAATTCTTTAAATTTGAAATCACAACCTTATATGACTATTACGATAGTTATAACGATGCTCCAAAACCGTGCAATAAGGAAAGCGTCAAGAGGTTTGCAGCCTCCTTCCTACCTGTTCTGTACACCCTAGTATTCCTGGTTGGGCTCATGGGAAACATCCTGGTCATTGTGGTCCTCTTCAAATACAAGAGGCTGAAGAGCATGACTGACGTGTACCTACTAAACCTTGCCATCTCAGATTTGCTCTTTGTTTTATCCTTGCCATTCTGGTCTTTCTCAATAGACCAATGGCTTTTTGGAACTCCCTGGTGTAAAATCATTTCATGGATCTACCTGGTTGGGTTTTACAGTGGGATATTTTTTATTATGCTTATGAGCATAGACAGATACCTGGCAATTGTTCGTGCAGTGTTTTCCTTGAAAGCAAGGACTGCCTTCCATGGCTTGATTACTAGCCTTGTTGTATGGCTAGTAGCTCTTTCAGCCTCAGTTCCAGAACTTGTATTTAGAGAATCTTTTAACGAACATAATTATACTACCTGCAAGCTGAGATATCCAGGCAATGTCACGACATGGAGACTTTTTTCCACTTTGGAAATCAACATTTTAGGGCTCCTAATCCCTTTTATAGTTATGACATTTTGCTACTCCATGATCATTAAAACATTAGCTCACTGTAGAAATGAGAAAAAGAATAAGGCTGTGAAGATGATCTTTGCTGTCATGATCGTGTTTTTCTTCTTTTGGACCCCTTACAACATTGTTATTTTCCTACAACTGCTGGAAATTACAGGAGTCATTAGAGACTGTCAAGTGAGCAGGAGTCTGGACTATGCTTTCCAGGTAACGGAAATCCTTGGCCTTTTGCACTGTTGTTTCAATCCAGTCATCTACTTCTTCATGGGGGAAAAATTTAAGAAGTACCTGAAGATGCTCTTTAAGAACTGGCGGTTACCTGGACATATTTGCAAGTGGTGTGGAGTTCACATCACTTACCACACTGAATCTACCAGTTCATTCCACACACAATCTACGGGGGATCAAGACGCTCTGTAATGTGTTTCGGACCAACCACTGAACTCAGCAGCAAGCAAACTGACAAAAGCAGGAACTTTAAAAAGCTAAGCAAATGCACATGCATTTAACAATAAGCTAGTGCCGGATAATTACTTACTTCAGCTTTGATTTCTGCCTCTAGATTTTCTGAATATTATGACTGAAGGTGTCCTAGACGTGAAACATAGGAGACGGACATGCAAGTTTTATCTGCTGTGATTACAAATCACTGCTCAGATGTAACAGCAGCCTCAGCTCTCTGGAAAGCACTGTGCTGTGCTTCTGCTTTTTCACCAGCATCAAGACGGAGGTTGGCCTGCATGGAGGGGCAGAGGAGAGAGAGCTGCTTGTCATCAGCACATGCATTTGGAAAATATATTGATTTATTCAAGAAGAATGGTTATTACCACATTTTTTTATTCCACCATTGATCTGTATAGGACTTGTTTGCTCTGACTCTTAGCAAGCTATTAGCAGTACCCACTACTGTTAAATGTTTTATCTCAGGGAGAGGATACACCCTCTGTCATTAATAAAAAGGACGAAAAATATATTCTTTATGTGCACAAAGATGCAAAGCAAATGCATTACACTGTGGTATAGACACGTTTTCTCTTAAGTATCCAAGTTGCCACATAGGCATATGTGTAGGTGTATATATAGGCACTTTGAATTACTTTATCGCTGTAATTCAAGATAGCAATTCTATATTTTAATGAACATAGAAGATGTTTTAAATACTGTTGAATAAAAGTTTTTTAAAAACCTTATTTTCCATCATGTGTGAATAGATTTGAAACATCTTGGTTAAAAGTATATCTTTTAAAGTGAATGTTCTTTGTTCCAAAAGTACTTAACCCCAAGACTCAGTTTTCATTCATTGGAGACGTATCTGGCAAAACAAAAGAAAGTAAAAACAGAGATTGTGTGAAAATGGTCTGTCATATCTTAGAAACCACACAAAGAATCCTAGCATTTGATAACAGCAAAATGGGAAGAGTGTGATGCCCCAGTAGCCACTCACAGATCTACATGATATTAATCAGAGATCTGGAACAGGAAGGAAACTCACACAGCAATGTTTAGATTTTGGCACAAAAATAATTTTAAAAAGGGCATAAATCAGTAATGTAGTAGCAGACAAAGTAAGAATTGAAAAACACATATTGGAAGATATTTCTGGTGTGTCTTTTTGCTGGACAACAACCATTCAG